CAGCATTTTAGAAAATTGTCATGTCATAAAATACTTCAGAGGAAAAGTCAATCCAGATTCATAAAATGTCAATTCAGAACTATTGATGGTCAGTATGTTTTTGCAATCACATAATGGTGAAGGGGGAATAATATTGTCTTTAAGGCAAGTACAATGGCCTAATACTAGAAATAGCATCTATGCAGAAACGTGAAATTTCATTTTAATTGTAAAATGTCTTCATAACTAATATTCATACAGCTGCTCCCATACTTACTTGATTTCTAATCTATATTTGCTCAGGAAAGTAAGTTCCTACGAAAATAATTTCTATCTATTGCAACTATTTATATGAATAAAGATTGAATTGTATCGCGTACAGAAGTTAGGTATTTTGTATCAGCACTTGCCCACTTACTGTTTCCCTTCTGTCCCAAGCTGAGCGCGGCAGAGGTAGACGTTGTGTGTGGCGTGCGCAGAGTACCGGCACAGCGAGCTGTGGGAGGCGCTGGGCGTGGAGCGCGCGCCCATGGCGCCGCCCGCCACGTGCTCGCGCGAGCTGGCCGAGGTGGCCGCCGGCGACAGCCCCCACCCGCACGCCCACGACGACGCCGAGTCGGACGTCGAGGGAGCAGAAGGCGAGGGGGAAGAAGAGGACGAAGACGAGGAGGCGGGCGAGGAGTCCGAGGAGGCGAGGGCGGAAGCGGGAAGTGCGAGCTCGGAGGCGGCCGGCCGCCAGCTGGCCTCGTACCTCGAGCGCGTCGCCCGCACCCGCGCCTCTGACGAAGTCGACGACTACAGGTGCGTCACGCCCCCTTCCCTTGCGCCACGCCCACGCCCGCTCAACCCACTCTCCCTTCCCCAGCGCCACGCCGCCTTCCCCTGCGTCACGTCTCCTTCCCCAGCGCCACGCTCCCCTCCCGAGAGCCACGTCCTCTTCCCCTGCGCCCCGCCCCTTCCCTTGAGCCACGCCCTTTTCCACTGCGCCACACCCCGAAGATCACCCTTCCCTCTACCCCAATAAAAGCATACACCACACTTGAGGTACCAGTGACCTTAGCAGTTGACGTGCCCGAAATTACTAATCAACCAATCGATGAATCAACCGGCAGGACCAGCGACGAGGCGTCGGCAGCGGCTGCGGCGAGCGTGGCGTTCGACGAGGCGCTGGAGGCGGTGGAGGCCGAGCGAGAGGAAGACCAAGGCGAAGGCGAAGTCGAGGACGAGGACGAAGACGAGGACGACGGGGAGGGGTTGCAGAGGGGCAGCTGCGAGGCAAGCGCGGGCGCCGGCGGGAAGGGCGGCGGGGGAGAGTGGGCGGCGGAGCCAGCCTGCCGGGACAAGCAGAGAGGCTAGCAAGCGCACGCTCCCAACGCCGAGGAAGAATTTCGCGTAGGGCTGGAAAGATTCTAGCGGACTTGTTCTGAAACCTGCGCAGTTAAAATAACCTAAATTGATCGCCACGGGACAATTTTTTTGTGAACATAACTTGCTTTAGTGTTGTTTTTGTGCAATATGTAGTGTGATTATACCTTTTAATGTTCTGTTTCGTATCTGATATATTTATTAAAGAATTGTTTTTTGCACAAAGAAGAAAATACAAGCGAAATGTAATTCATGTGATATGCTTACGGTTGATTTATACAAGATCAACGTTTTATGTTTGTTCATTTACAAGTTTGCGCAGGGACCAGTCATATGGTTTCGTTTCATTTGCATAAATGTCCCAAATTATGCATACTGCCTCTTTTGCACATTTACAACGCTGATCCTACGGGTGTGTTTCCTTTTCAGTAGAGATTGTCTGAAGATATCACTTTTAGAACTTCTCGTGATTGAAGAGTTTGTTTGTAACAGAATCATTCCTTTTTTAAAGTTGTTTTTTCGTACCTACATTTCACTGTACTGCCTTGTATGAAGAGCGTCTCCGAAGGAATTTACCTGAACTAATGGAAGTTGAGTATCCAAATAATCTTATCTCCTCTAAAAGCGCTTGGACGACCGCACAATAAACACATATTTTCGATAGCCTTGTACATGTACATTAATAATTTAGCAAAACGTAATCTCATGTGTTATGATTTTAGCAGTATTAACTGTTAAAGAAGTTGAAACGCACGAGCTTTAGACCATGTGACGCTTCAATAATATGCAATCTGCCAAAAGCGTTTCGCCAGAAGGGGTTGTAACTTCAAAATTCTCTCAATCACATTCTCTCATCTAGGTCACGTTTGTTCGGAGTGGTTCATCACATCAAAATTGTCAGTGAAATGTTCTACATCTCCTGTTTCTTTTTAATAATTTGTTTTGACACACTAATGTTCTCATTGAGACTTCTACCCAAGGACACACTAAAGGAAAACCGCTCCAATCTCACGCTTTTTGGGGGCAATTGACTCAAAGCCTATATTTTCCTAACATTGTGTTAAGGTTGGAAAACACTTGCCTTAAGTGTCATGCCTTCAGTGTTCCCTCAAGTATGACACTTGAGATGGTAACCGTTTCTGAATGTTCCCTTCTGCAAGAGTGCGAGAGGGCGCAGACACTGTCCATCACAGCCTCTGGCTGATCTGAATAGGTATTTTTGGGTTGGTGTTTACGGGAAGTACATGAAAGGATTATATTCACCTTTCAAGATGGTATTTTTCAGTCTCAAATGCATAGAGCTGAATTATTTATTTTAATTGAAATGTAAATACAATTTTGAATGCTTTTTATTGGCAAACTAATATTTTTCTTAAATGTTTATCGGTCATTGCAAATGTATGAAATGCTGCGTTTGTAAATATCGTTTAGTAAAAATGTTTAACAATTGTATTGTTTTATAACGATTATTTATATATTTGTGTATTTTCAATTAATTTATTATGTGTAAAATAAATAATATTTTTATTTCCAGTACGTAATTGATTTTATAGTTTGCCTGGTTTCTATGAATTTTTTGCATTGTTTGTGAAAGACCTGTGCACCTACCACTGACATAGAAACCCCTGCACGACCCGTTCATACATTTTTATTTACATATACTTCCAAACATTGTCAAAACAGCTTAGATAAGGTCGCTGTTACAATGTAGTAATACAATACAACTATATCAATGAGAACCCTTGAAGAGATTGTTGTTTTAAAAGATAATAATAGATTAGTGAACAATCCTGCAAGAGAGAATAGTTTCTTCAACCGATATTTTTGAGAATTGCGGTTGATCTCATAAAGGATCTAAAGCTACAAAATTCAAAAATATGTTTTCCCCAAAATATTCAAAACAATGTTTGTTACCTTAACTTTTTTCTTTGAAATTCTCAAAATAATCAGTAAACAAAAAATTAATATTAGCTTATATGAATTTCTGGATTGCTTGTTAAAGCCTTGTGCCCCTGACATTCTACCCCCATTAATTCACACATTTAATGCATCTTTGCACACTGAAACTTTCTCAGATATGTACAGAAGAGTTCAGCTACTCTTCAAAAAAAGGAAACAAACATGAAATTCAAAATCATCACCTGTTTTCTCTATTGTCAGTTTTCTCAAAAACATTAGAGGGGCTTCTCTATGTTCAAATGGAAACCTCTGTCAGTAAGAATTATGCGTTTCCGTACTGCCCACTTAGATACAGAAAATCAAAATCTACGGAAATCGTGTATTTATTCTCATAAAGATGTTGCTTCATCAATGGATCAAAATGAAACACCTATTGAAATATTTTTAGATCTTCACAAGGAATTGACATGGTTGATCACAACATTTTACTTTCAAAATTACCTTCATATGGAATTCACGCTATAGCTGTACATTGGTTGTGTTCAGATAGTAGGAGAACGCACTGGAATGAGGGGACATTACTTTTCGATTCTTTGCCAATTGCAAATGGAGTCTCGCAGGTTTCGAGGCCCTACTCTCTTCCAACCATACGTAAATGATATTCCCTCATTGATTCAAAATGGAAGAACAGTTCTCTTTGCTTATGATAGGCATGTACTTCACAATACAGAAACGGTAAATACAACAATATCAGATTTTTTTATTGAATACATACTAATAATTATCTGTTAAGCATGGGAAAATGGTTTCATAGCAGTTTTCCATTTCAAGTACACATACAATACATGCATGTTATTTTACGACACATCATGATGTGTTGATGACATTAAACAATTGAAGTGTGTTCCAATAGTTAAAAGTAAAATCTTTTCTGCTGCATAATAACTGTTTCTATACAATTAGAGACTATACTGATCATCAAAAAGAAAAATCATGTTTATTTTACCAAAACAGTCATATATATATTGAATTAGTTTACATTAGTATTGTATTTTTTTTTTTTAATTTTTTTTTAATTTTTTTTTTTTTAAAGACTTAATATGCTTGTAATAAATAATGTACTTTATAGTTTCTCCATCTTGTTCAGGTTTTTGTCCTGTTTTCCTGATCCATAGAGCAAATGCTGACATGGCCCCTGGTTTTGCTTCTGGATGTAAATGTAGCTTTACTATGCGCACATTTTGTTTAACTCTCCTTTAGCTTGCAGTGGCAGGAGTAGCGGTAAAGGAGTTAGTATTTTGTTAGCAATGCAGAAAATTCAAATTTGCAGTTTGTTTACTTTTTTATATTTTATTTTTAAATATTTATTTATCTTTAACTTTTACTCATCTTTCAACTATTTATAGTTAAAATGATGGGAAGGGATTCTGGAACTCCAGAATACGTACGTGCACAAATCATCTCCCCTCTATGTCACATTCAGTTTTTACTGTTTTTTGACTAAATAAAGCAAAATCTAAGTAAACAAATTTATACTACACTGAATAGGCCCTAAGATCAATGAGCCATTGACTAATGTTAAGGTAAAATGTTTGGGTCTCTAAGTTCAGTCCATCCTCTAATGGTGCTTTATTTAAATGAATTGAACGCAAAATTAAGTTACAGTAAAACTTTGCTAATTTAAGAAAATTATGATCTTCATTCTGCCAAGTTCCTGAACCAGCAAATAAAGGCATTGATGACTACATTGCCAAGTGAAGACATTGAAGAACAGAATTTTCGCACATTTTCATCCTTTTGACTTGTTTGCAGGAATTACCATTTCGTTTTCGGCTTTTAAAACAGTTTTTGGTATTCTAAAGAAGCGTCTCACCCTATCGATTCACTAAAGCTTAAATAAAAACTACTTTGATCAAGGTAGCACATAATTTCCTTTTAGATCCTCTAGTTGAGGTTTATTTCACATTGCATTAAGACATATCACTGTTACTTGACAATGTTGCACCCAGAAACTTTGTGAAAATAGACCAACTCTACACCCTACAATTTTGTTATTTTTATAAATTCTTACATATTGTTTTTCAAATTGTAAATTCTTCTTCTTTGAGCATGGCAGTTTTCTTTTACAAACATTACATGAAAATAATATATACTTTTTTTATTCAAAATAAAATCAAGCTGTGAGTCCTAATTGACCCCAATCTTCTTGTAATGCCTTCAAGAGCATATAGCTATTCAACAGTTCAAAATAATACTATCGTAACTGACACTTGAGGAAAAATTGCAGTAAAAAAAGTCCTCTCTAAGAAAAGGCCCATATCATAATCGTTGTAGCATTCAAATAGACCCACATATTGTAGAGCAATCAAGACAATGCCTATAACAACTAATTCTTCATCGTAATTTTTGATAAACACTGGAGCTTTTAATGGGTTTCAATAAAAAATTTAAGAAATATTACTTTCAAGATTACTCCAAACTTCTGACTTCAATGCACTAAACAAAAAGAGCAAAATAAAAAACAATTGTGTGCATTAGAAATAATTGCATGTGAATATGGGAAACGTGGGTTCATACACAATATGGATCAAAGCAAACATTTAAATTATTCCATCTCTCTTTATTCTTTAAGTACAAGTGTCATTTAGATCACAAGCTCTTCTCTTTTATTACAACTATTGACCATACACGTCAAGTAAAAAAACATTCTCTTTATTCAAAATATTATTTAAGGCCAGACATACAAAAATACAATGTAGAACACACTGGATCATAGTGGTCACGATAGGGCACAAGACGACAGTAAAATAAAATGGCAAGCTTTTACCCTTTCTCCCTGGTACTTACAGCATGAAAGAAGTGACTATCAACAAATGCAAGAGAGTCCAGAGAACAACAAACACAGAGAACACACTCTTGCTATCACAGATAACTACAATATCATCACATGAGAACATATGTTGGGTCTGTCATAACTCCACAGTTGTTGTTTTTAGGTGACATTAGCACGTAGCCATCGTTACCCCAATAATTGGACCAAGAATTCTTCACAAGCCAATATGGTTTTCCATTGAGTTTGCCATATCCCACCAATAGAACAGCATGGTCTAATTGGTCAGGTTGATTACCTGTAAACCACAAATAATGTTTACTGTTAAGAAAAAGCCACAAATGTATAAATGATAACTTTAGAGATATAAGATTTCTCTCAACTAACAAGTATACTTAAAACAACTTCATTAGAGAACTGCTATCAATATCATTGGGCAACAAAGCAGATAAGCAAAACTGAAAATACATTTCTAGAAATCAATGTAATATATCTTTGCCAACTTACCACATTCAGGGTCATAATAAATGCCATTAGCATAAAAGGTGAAAGTCTTCTTAGAGGCATCAATGGCAATAGAAATAGGACCTTGCTTTGCTACAGCAACTTTGAGAGCTTTCTCATCTCCTGAAGTCACATTCACAAAGCCTTTGATGGCAGCAACAGGTTTCACTTTGTCAATATGGCAGTAGCCATCCTAAGCAAATAAATTATAATTTGTGGTAAACAAGTAAACCATATATTATAAATGTTAATTTTGTGTACCCTCTTCATTATTATTAATTCAAAAAGTTGAAGATCACAAAGATGTGTGCATATTGTACTCCTTCACTCTGTAAACCACATATGTTTTTCCTGCTCTTTTCCCCCCTATGAAAACAAATAAATGAAGACTTTTGCTTTTACATCTCTAAAAAATTAAAGTGTCATATTTTACTTCATTGAATTAGGTCTTTTAGAATAGCCCAATAATGCCAAGTTTTCTTGTATTACTATTTGTAGGCAAAAATCATCAGATTGAAAAATGTCAATGCCCAAAAAATCCAGTTACAATCAATAACAGCTCATCAACTCAATGATGAATTTCCTTCATTCATTTCCATCTAATTGCCGATTCTAGTAACAAATTCTGGAAGCATACTATGCTACAATACTTGCAAATCTAGCAAAATTTACCTGGCCAAGATAAGGCCCATATTCATCTTCAGAGGGCAGTCCACCATGTTTCATCATCCAATCATAGGAACGGAAATCCTCACCACCATCACATCCATTGTTTCCAAATCCCCAGCTACAGTCAATGAGTGCCTAAATTCAAAAGGAGTTCAGATTTTTATATTAGCACAATATGCCAAATATGAAAGAAAAGAGTTGTTCAGCATGAAAGTAGCTTAATAATAGAAAAAATCTGTACCTGAACAAATACCATTAAAAAAACAAACAAAAAAAACTTACAAATACATTTTTTGATTACTTGAATAAATTCTAAGGAAACAAACTTTCTTTAATCTGTTCAGCCTTATTAAATGCACTAAACTTGTACTTACCTGATTGCTAATGTAACAACTTAAAGTGATATGAACTATGCCAAATTTACTTAGCTTGATTTAAAAGCATACCTGCTGAGAAAGGCGAACTTGTTTGTGGTATTTTAGGAAGTAGGCACCTTCAATTGTGCCAGTTGTTCCAAAACTCCAGCATGAACCACAGACAGACTGATCTTATAGAGAAAAAACAATAATCTTGAATGGCAATTTCAGATTAAAAAAAATAATAAACACACACAAATCATACATAACAATGAAATTTAGTGTAATTAGTGAAATTCAAAAATGTTGCTGTTCAAACACTCACAGGTGATCTTTACTTCTTGGAAAGTATCATTTGGAATCAATTTGCAAACTGAATGCTGGTGAAAATTACTCTATATAATGGAATAGACAAAAGCAAAATTGTGTTCAGACAGCTACCTTTCACAGGGGTAACAGCTCCCAGAAGTCTCCAATCAAGGTTGTCCGGAATGGCATTTAGGGCATCAGGTGTTGTAGCATGTGGGAAAGGTAGACCCCCATTACTGGCCTGTTTGGTATATTGCCGACCTCTAAGGGCCTTCAATTCTATGTCGCTGCGGTCTGCCAAATGGTTAATGTCCAGGGAGAAGCCCAGCCCAGCACGGTTCTTTGAATGAATAAATCTGAAAAAAATAGATGAAATGCTTTGTGCAGAACAGATATGCCTTTCACACATATTGAACATTAATTTAAAAAATGAAAAAAGAAAAAACAAGAAAAATAAGATTTCTATTGTATTATTTTCTTCCACTTCTGATTACAATACACGTTAGTAGTAAAATAGCACTTGAGAAGTGTTTTTGAGAAATAACATTAATAGAAATCTATATCACAATATTTTAGAGTACTAATGTTAAAACAAACAACAATAGGAAACCATTATATGTATTGAAAATATTACATTGAGACAATTAGGCTCACGAAAGGAAATGCTGTGTTCTACCAAGTGTGTTTCAGTTTGTATTGCCAAGATGTTCTATTTTTAGATCTGAACATGCATTAATGATGAAACATGACTTGTGCCAAACAAGTTTCGCAATGCACTAAAAATATACCTGAAAACAACACTTCTCAATCTGAAGCACAGATGCAGATAGACAAACACTTCTATCACAATATTCAAGAATTATTCATTACTCTGAGCAAGGAAACTCTTCTTAAAAAAGATTAAATCAGATTTCAGTTCAACTCAAAAAATACTTTACAAATAAAGAAGTTTTTGGTAGTTTAAACATTATTTCTCATTACCAAATTTGACAATTGTTCTAGCTAGTGAGAAACTTTTATTGGAGGCACATTTCAAAAGCATTGAAATTAAGAAAGATTCTCACTATTCCCACCCTAATAATATTCTTTCCTAAGTTATGGAGCAAAGCAAATAATGGTTAAATTATTGCCTGTTGAGAATTATAGACGTGTAACTACATTTTTTTTTGTGCCAATAAGGTAAAAGTTTATCTCAATTTCTTGCTTAGATGATTGACCCCTAGTTGTCATTCAGAATATCTTATCACCACTTTGAACATTTTTTCCCCATATGAAGAAATTTTTACTTCTGCTACTAGGATTCTCAACAAGCCGACGAAACTCATAACAACTAATGGGTCTGGTGTCAACCCCTGAAAGCTGACATCAAAATTAGATGGTAATACTTGGAGTCCAGGAGATACTAAGTAAGAAATTCCCAGCTATTTGGCTTGTACGGGGATGGCTCTTATACAACATTCAAAACTATGTAGGGAAGAGGACCAGATTAATTTGTCATGGGATGTTAAGTAGGACCAAGCAATGAAGCCTGTATGAATATTGAAAAATAGAATACATGCAATTCAAAATAATTATAAAAATAAACTAAAACTTTTGAAGAAATAACAAAATACTTATTTATATTTCAAGTGGCAAAAAGAGTGCATCATAAAAGTAAGTTGATTAATCACATGCATAGTAACAAGTGTATACTAACAAGTCGAAACAATTACTGGAGAGGGCATATGGGTCTCATAGATATATGTAATATACATTTTATTTTATTTTATCTGTTTGCCTTTTTAATATATCTTCTTGCTGTACACCTATTTCAATATAATTTATTATACTACATCAACTAAGGTAGTAGTTAAATAAAATATAATACAGAGCAAATTTATCTTCCACAGGAAGCTTTAAAATATTGGATGTAAAAATGAGTAATTTATTATACTCCTACCATAAGTAAACATAATTTCATTTATTTATTTAGCCAAAAACCACCAAAAATGTATGTGACTTATGGGGGAGATGATCTGCACACGTTTTCTAAAATCTCCTCCCATCGTTTTAACTATAAATAGTTGAAATATGAGTAAGAGATAAAGATAAATAAATAAATCAAAATAAATTTGAAAAAGCAAGACATTAGCAACATTTGAAAAACTAGACATTTTCGTTCCCGAGTTATAGAAAACTTATTTGCCACTGTAAAGAAACTGCAGATTTGATTTTCCTGCATTGCCAACAAAATAGTAACTCATCCTCTACTTATCACTACAAGCAAGAGGAGAGTCCAACAAAACGTGCACGTAGTGAAACTACATGATAGCGCGCGTTCCGTGACTCTTTTGTTAGGGTACTGCTCCGCCTGGAGTTGATGGGAGAAACCACGGAACTCTACCAGTCGGAGCAGGCGGCCACTGACAATTCCCCCCAGCCGCGCAGCTAGCGTCGCAAATCCGGCACCGTGTCGCCGCCGTGCGGCCTGCGGCGAGGGGCGCACCTGAGGTTCTGCCGGAAGAGCTCGGCGCGGCGCGCGCGCTCCGCGGGGTGCGGGTATGCGCGCGCGTGGCGGCGCTCGAAGGCCGCGAAGGCGCGCCGCACGTGCGCGTCGTCGCCGTGCACGAACTCGCGCATGGGGTTGAAGGTGGCGAGGTGGCGGTCGCCCGGGCCCGGGAACGCGCCGCACGTCTCGTTGGCGCGCAGCCGGAACACCTCGGGGCTCGGCACCTCCGCCGAGAACCATTCGTACTCCAGGTAGTAGTGGTCGTAGTGCGAGCCCAGCAGCGAGTTGTAGCCCTTCATCTCGTAGCGGATGGGCACCACCAGGTCCGCGCGCCCCACGCTCCGCTGCAAACAAACCACCCACATGCGGCGCCTGCCGCTCACTCTGCCTCTCTCACTGCGAGAGGTCTCACCGGGAACACAATCCAACCGGAGACCAATCAGCATTAGGGATGCGACATCCATGTCGTATGTTTTTTTTAAAAAATCGATTTTTTATGTTAACACTGATGTTTAATAAAAATGATTTATGTAAACACCGACGTTTCAAAAAATCTATTTTTTTCGTAAAAACAAATGTTTTAAACATCGATATATTCATGTCGATGTTTTTCAACATCGATTTTTTCTGGTTGACGTTTTTACGTTAATAAAATGGCTACTGTCAAATTAATTTTTCTTGTGCAGAAATTTCTTGTAGTAGTTTATCAAACTACCTTTAAGACACCGATGTTACAAAATCTCAAAAACTACTCCAAATTTGTTCTTTATTTTCTTCACCTCGGAAAGAGCTTAAGAAGTCCGCAGGTGTCATTTTCCACGCACTCTGCATTTTCGAAAATTTAAAAACTTTGCAAAACGAAGATACCGCATGTGGGAAGGCTTAGTCACAGCTGGAAGTCTGGTTGTGAAGGGGCAAGACTGGCGTGTAACAGTCTAAGGTCCCGAGTTCGAATCCTAACGTGAAGAGAAATTTTTTGTTGTTTGGAAACACTAATGCAGGTTCATATAGAATTATAATACTGCAAAGCCTTAACAAAAATTGTGAGTTAGAACATGATATTGTAGCCCACTAACTTTCTCAGTTCAAGTCAATAGCGAGCAGTTGGACAAATAATTTATTTTCAATAAATACTTGCAATGGGCCAATGCAGTGTAGCTACACGACGACGAGAAATCTGGAGTAATTTTATGAACGGTATCTGGTAACTTGTGCAAAGAAAGGACGAAAGGTTCACTATCAGTCAAGATACCAATCGATAAACGATTCTCTTTAAGCCCATAATTTAATATACTTACGCGACATTTATATCGAAAGAGATAAGCCAGAAAGATTATAGAAAATAGGAAATATTTCTGAGAAAATGTGGAAAATGTCGGGGCTTCATATAAAATACAATCTAAAATCAATTTATTCTGTGTCGAATTTAAGGAGACACATCTATCACGGATTATCAATTATAGAGAACATCCTGCCTATAGTTTAGCTGCTAGCATTGTTCACAGATGAACAGTCGTTTTGCCATAAACGTTTTTCGGAATCAAGAACCAGCTAAGCGTGGATTCTGACAAGTGTTAGATAAAATTATTTTCTACATATAGGGATAAGAATTATCCACTTTTTAGGTATCGGGGACTAGTAAAGAGTATTTCTGTCGAAAAATCGCTATTTTTTGTTGCATATACTACGTACGTAATATGAAAGTAAAAAATCACTTATGTACTGCGACCAGTTCGTAATAAGTCGGTTGGGTGTTTTAAGCGATAATTTGGTATGTGCTGAGTAAAAATCGCAAACATAAATTACATCAATCTTTCTCATCAATGAATCGAATATGCCTATATTTCGAAACCAGACCAAGTGGATTGTCTGGGAAAAGATCACTAACATATGTTTTGCATGTTCTAATGAAAAATGAGTACTTGAGCGGCCCCCAAAAGAAAATTCTGGCGACATCTTTATGATAATTTCCAGGATCCATAAAACCTTTGACTTGTCAAACTGTCAATGAAGTGAGGAAATAAAAAGTTGATTCAATTTCTTTGGCAGCCAAAAAGGTCCCAACAAGTACTGCGCATTATTAAGCACAACGGTAGGCTTTTACTCCACAGCGCTAAAAAATTAGTTTAATCGATTTCTGTAATTTTTTTTTCAGCGTGTAAGTTGAATAAAATTAAAAAACAACATGAAGAAACCACAATACATAAAGATATTTTCGTAACTAATTCGTAGATAAACGACCCTTACAACCGTCTTTTTTTTAGCAACTTTTTTTTCGTCAGAGTTTACTGACAATCTTGCTTACGATCCTATTTGCAATGGGCTCGAGACATGGATCCGGCACGCTGTGCATAGCGCGTCTCCGCCCTCGGCGCAAATCCTGGTTGGGTCAAGACTGCCAATGAGAGCCATCACTGGCCTACAGCTGAGACCGCAGATGCAGCTGGCCTGCCCCATCAAACCAACACTCCGATGACTCACGCGTAAGCTAGAGCAAACGTTTCCAAGAGACATACGCTGCATTATCCTTCTTAGTCCTCGCGTTCGGAAACTTATCTCTCATACCAACCATGTTATGTTCCCTTCGAAAAAAGGGTATTCATTAACGCGTACGCTTCTTACTGCACACAAACTATTAGTAATGACGACTAAAAGAGAAACGCAGGCTACGTTTTTGTTTTTCACTTCTTAATTTATAACTTGTCCTATGTATTTAATATTTAATGTCCTATATATTTAACATCAGACCAGTTTGTACACAGAAGAAACATTAGCAGAGAACACCATACCACATATTGTGAAATTTCAGTATGACGAATTTAAAATGTGACATTTGCTCTTGGTTGTTTTAAGAAATACACAAAGGCGTTCGGCAGGTACACGAAATATCTTTGATTACGTTCGGCGGACATCACGTTACCTACTTAACACTAATTTACTTCTCTAACAATCAAGGCCAAATGTCATATTTTAACTTCGTCGTATTGAAGTTTCTCACTCCATGTTCATTGCCAAAATGTGATATCTGATTCCTCTACCCTAACAGTTAATAGTATATATATTAGCTATCCTTAAATGGCATGATTAAAGCGGATTCTTTGCGGCAAATGAACTGAATAATTTTGTCGGCACTGAGATCATTTCCGAAGAAATTAAACCACTCTAACAATTTTGCGTTTAATAGCGCTTCATTAGAAACGTCTCTTGAGCGCAAATGCAAGTGGCGATCCTTGTGAAGTTCGTGCGCATGATCACGAGAGCGAATTGTCTGTCGTCACGCAGGCTCTCATTGTCCCTACAGTAAGCCACGCTTAAGAGGATTTCATGAAGAAGCCAAAGTGGTGTCTGAGATTTACTGCGGCTCGCAGAATAAAGGAAGCTTCGGCAAATACGAGAAACTCTTAGCATGCACTGCATGATGAAATACTCAAGTGGTCACAGCACAGTCAGTTTTGATTTTTACTATTTCCAACAGCTTTAGAAAAGAGTATACCGCAACAAATTTCCGACCCTCGTATACGTAATATAACCCGTGCACACAATCATACATACTGCATTATTTTTTTAAACATCCTTTTTAAACACATTGAACAAACTGTTTAAAAATATTTTTTCACATTTTCTTAAGGAATACAGTAGAACCCCGGTAATCCCAACTAATTGGGAGTGTGGTCTGTTCGGATTATCCGAAAAAAATGTACCGTACGCATATACAAATACATCTACAGGATTTCAAGACAATACAACGTAGCGTCTGGTAATGCGAGATGTATGGCATACCAGAAATACCCCACAAGGCTTTTAACAAAAGGAATATATATCGAACATATGGCTACATTAGAATTTGATGCATATTAATCGCGCAACATTTCTTGAACGATGACCTTGTTTTCCCCTTTATGGCACAAACAGCCGAAGGCAAAAGCTCGCCGCGAGCACTGATGGCAAAGTTCCAGACATCTTCACTGGCGCAAAATAGGAACTATTTTCTGTTAAAGAGGAGAACGTGATTTGCCACCCCCCTCCCTAAAAAAATGTAAAGAAATGGCCGAAGCAGGTGAAGATCCATCAAAGAATCCATTCTCGAACCCCTGAGACAGTTAGAACGCAATTCACTGAGAGATTAGTATTTCTTCATAAAACCTAGCGAGTGATTTCGAAACTTATACCTCCACTACTTCAATCCTTCAAGAAAAGTTGCGCGAGTAATACCAAAAGTGTAGATCAATTGATCCATTATTGTTCTGTGGTGCAGACCAAGGAATACACGACGTCAGGACAACGTGTCAATAAGCTTTATGTTCCGTGATTGGCGGTCTGAACGCGATATTGTTTTGCGAAGCATGGCCTCGGGTCATGATGTTAAATAAATGACGCGACTGCGTTGAAAATCGAGGTTCTACGATTATTTAGGATGAGACTCATTCTCTCTCTCTTGGCAGCAACCGAAGTGGACGGTAATAAGTACTTTTGCAGTCCTAGGCTGGGTAGCATTTTGATGTTAGGAAACGGGAAACTTACTTTAAATGTGAGATTTGTTCATGTGTAGTTTATAATTTGTAATTTGAGGGTATCATTTTTTTAGCTTGGTACAATTTGTGATTTTGGGGATTCATGTAAAATAGACTTCGTACGTAGGGAATTAGTATAGAATAGATTCGTAACTGAACATTATAAATTGTTTTAAGTTCCATAAAATGACAGGTACGCAGGCGCTTCATCCGAGGCACAGGAAGGGAAAGTCACGTTCGCGGACTGCATTAATTGAATAGATCGTATTAGATAATATTATTATCGAACAGGATTTTCGCGCGGTTTTAAATCTTGGCGAATCAACCCAAATGTTTATCATCACGGCAAACCCCGACAACGCCAGAGATAACAGGGTCTTACGTCAGACGAGTAACAACAGAAGAGTTCAATACCCTGAGAGCCTTGTTGGCCAAGAATGAAGAGTGAAAGAAGGCGTGTTACTTCATTTCTAGGAATAGTAGTTTCCGAAAAATCGGGAGAAAAAGAACAATTTCAAAAATAATCACAGTTTACTTACAGCATGTTAAACTATGCGAAAATGCTATTAAATGCGGTGGCCCGTAACAGTTCAACTATTAACAGTATTCAACACAAAAATATGCTGTTAGTAATCATAACTTTCTTTCAATAGATAGCTACACTTGCATTGACATACGAATTCGATGAACTGTTTAAATTTTCAATACCAATCATTTGCAGCTCTTAAAATTATAAGGATGACTTTCAATATGCAGCAATGTATAAGTCAGTGTGCGGAAACGTCCAATATGTATTTTTCAAGAAACTAGAAACAATTTAACCCTGCAAAAAG